TACTGGTCGGCTTTGTAGACCCCGACGTTGTGCTTCCCGACTTCTTTTTCATGTTTTTCTTCTTGCCTCGCAGTATCTTTTCCCACCACCCTTTAGTTCTTCCAGTTGATTTTTTGGTTGGTCGTCCCTTTCTAAATTCGTTCACTTCTGGCTCGTGAATGTTGTCTTCCGCTAGGTGGAGACCGCGAAACACGTTCTTTGCTGCTTTTTTCGTTGCCTCTGGTCCTCTGCGTACAGCCTCATCAACCAACTCCTGAAAGTGACATTTAGCCTCATCCTCATGGGGCACGTACTCTTGGGCATTGGGTGGATGCTCGTATGTCAGTGTCCGCCAATATATATGAAGATCACCCTGGTATATCTCTATGTCTTGCGCTCTGCCATCATAACTTGACATCCACACCTCAAGCCGTGTGTCACAGAGAAATGACATGCACATCGGGAGTTCTCATTTTTTTCCAAGTGGGCCGCCAATTCTTCTTCAGCCTCCTTCATTAATATAATTGCATGCACGCTGACCTTCTTTCTCAAGTATGTGAAGGGTGTACCACCGGATGCTGAAAGGGTTTTCTGTCTAGAGTTTTCCAACATCATCCTAACCTCCGCGAGTTGGTTAGTAATGTAGCGGTGGTTTCCTTTCCATACAGTGTCCATAGTTCCCCGCGAGTTGTGGAGGAAAGTTTTCAAAGCAGAATGTGACGACTCAACCCTGTTTGTGCTCGTATTTCCTAGATGAAACACATTTTTGGTATGAGAAAATGCCCACTTATCTCGATGTTGCCGCCACACTCCCTGTATGTATTGCAATAGACGTGGTTCGTAATTGCCCCATCTTTCCCTAAAGCGGCCAAACGCGGCCAACATACCTTGCTCGTACCAAGAATAAAGCATAGAACACCAATATTGATTGTAAGCCTCGTTGACCAAATCCATCTTGTCCTTCCCAAATATTTCCAAAAACTTCTTCTGCACATTAGTGTTGATGTGCCAAACACATAGCAAATGCGGGGTGCGGGGAAAGACCACATAAACTGTAGTAATTAGTCCACCTTCGTGGTTGATGACGATGACAGTGGGCACGCGTGGATGGAATAATTGTTGTATGCACTCCAACAGCCAATGATACGACTCTTTTGTCTCATCCTTCATGAGAGCACAACATATGTTGAAATTTTTCCCAACGGGAGTAGCACCTACGACCTCCACCCACGACATTTTATATGCATTGGTCTTATATGTTGAGTCGATCAGAATCACGTACGACCAAGCCTTCAACATTTGGATGGAAGTTGGATGGGCAAAAAAAAGATGTGTAAGCACGTTGTTATCGTCCTTCATAACCTCCATATGATAATTCTCATGTTCAGCTGCTTGCAACGCATACTGCACTGCATTCATCTCGCCCATCTCGTCTTTCCTAGACTTGGACCCGAGGTTATACATCTGCCTTTTGGTGTGATGCCCTTTGTCACCTTTCTGCTTGTTTATTGTTTACTTCTGTTGCGACGGAGGTACCCCAGCATCTCTCATCTGCTTCAGAGATTCTTTATCCTCCTGACTCAATTTATTCATTTGACTGTGGCCCTCGGGATAAAGCATCTCTCATGATTGTGATACCCACGCCTTAAACCGGTTTCTTGCTCCATCACTGCTTGTATCTCTCAGAATGAAGGTCCATCAAGAGCATCTGGATCAACCAGTAGTTCTTTAATTTTAACCTTGAACATGCAATTAGATCCTTTTGAACTTGTATTGCCACGGCTCTCCTTGGAAGGATCCGACTTGTATGACTTTCTCTCCCTACTGCATCTGTCGCAATACATATAACACATACCCAATACTCTATTGTTGCGCAACTCACGTGGCTTCACGGTCCCTTAGTTAGAAAGAAACCAAGAGACATCGCGATGTTTTTGGTCACTGTTACTTCAAAATTGTCATATCGGACGCCATTGAGAAAATTGTCTGTGTAAATCACCAATTAGTTCAACATTGTAAGCCATGTCCACCTGCAATTATGATTTTACAACTCGTTAGAAAGGTACAAATTATATGATTCTAGAAAATTAAACTAAATACAATAATTTAATTAACTCTACAAAATAACAATAAGTTGACGATAAGAAATTTAATTAAATATAAATTATCAAACCAAATTAGCTCTACGAATTAAATCGAAACACAATAAAATAATTAGCGCTACAACAAAACACAATCACTTAATTAAACTAATTGTGCTTCAATTGACTCTACAAAATTACACTAAATGCAATAATTTAATTAACTCTAAAAAATAACGATAACTTGACGATAAGAAATTTAATTAAATATAAATTATTAAACCAAATTAGCTCTACGAATTAAATCTAAACACAATAAACTAATTAGCGCTTTAACAAAACACAATCACTTAATTAAACTAATTGTGCTTCAATTGACTCTACAAAATTAAACTAAATGCAATAATTTAATTAAGTCTAAAAAATAACGATAATTTGACGATAAGAAAATTATTTAAATGTAAATTATTAAAATTATTTAGCTCTACGAATTAAATCTAAACACAATAAACTAATTAGCTCTACAACAAAACACAATCGCTTAATTAAACTAATTGTGCTTCAATTGATTCTACAAAATTAAACTAAATATAATAATTTAATTAACTCTACAAAATAACGATAATTTGACAATAAGAAAATTATTTAAATATAAATTATTAAACTTCTTTAGATCTACGAATTAAATCTAAACACAATAAACTAATTAGCGCTACAACAAAATACAATCGCTTAATTCAAACTACATAAGAATTTAACTATGTAAAATAAAAATAAAAGCAATAAATTAAATATACATTATTAGCTTTAGAATTAATAATATGTATCAAATTAACAAATAAAAAAAGCAGTGCCGGCGGTCGCCGTCCGCTCGCCGGCGTCGGCCGCCGTCCGTTTGCCGGAGGCGGACCCCGTCCGTTCGCGGGCGTCAGGCGCCGTCCGACGCCGGCGAGTGGACAGGCAAAATACAGGAGGTCCGTGCACGGGGTTTACCTGATTCGCTGGTCCGACGATGTGTACGGCTGCCGTCCAGTGGCCGGCGAATTATGCTGACGTTGGTCCGGTGGCCGGCGACTTAGGCTACCGTCCGGTGGCCATGACTCTGGCTACGGTGATTGTGGGGGGTTGGTGGTCGGGTGGTGTGTAGGTAGTTTAAAAAACCAAACCAAAGAATATAATATAAAGAAAAATTTGGAGGGCAAAATTATCTTTTTAGTGTAATTTACGGGCGGCAAATAGTAATTACACGGGCGACAAATAGTAACCCTCTATAATAATAATCCAGTTAAAGAAGCTGGCTTTATGGTCTGTTTACATAGGAAACAAGAGAGACAAAAGGTGGGGGAAACAGTGAAGAAACCTATCCAATTGTCTAATATACAGTGCTTTGCTACCTAAACTATCCTAATTGCATTTTATCTATGCTAAGGGACTAGATATCGTGACAACTCCCAAGGGGTTGTCAATTTCGCTTCTCCTTTAGTAGTCGTCCGTCCCCCTTCCTCTATATCTGACGGTTGATGATGGCCAAGGGTAAAAAAAAAGAGTGCCCACACTGGATCTGCCTACTCACTAATGCGCTTACGTCAATAGGGTTTTGAAAAGGGAAAGAATTCGATGGGGGAGAGAAATCAACACCCCTCCTTCTCAGAACGATTTGTCTCCCCCAAGCCCTTTTCCTCCGTCTTCTCCCAAAAACCTTCCCTTCCACCATCTCCGATCAATTTTCTCGGCGTTTCCTGCCATCGTATCACCCGGTCCCGTGTTGAGTGCAAAGTCTTGGTGTTCGTCTGCCCAAAAACCATTTCCCCCTCCATCGTCTCCCAAAAAACCTAGCAACCGTCACCGATCAACTTTCTCGACGCTTCTTTCAGTGTATCGCCGGACATCCTTCCGTTGTCGTCCCTTCTTGCTTTTATGAAACATTTATTGATGAATCCTTTGTGTTCGTTTGGAAGTTGTGATTTTAAATGGTGTATTGATCTAATTCATGTATTTGTGAGATTAAGTTGTTATTTATTTATTTATATAGAACTAGAATACATGCATTTACTTTTTAGAGGCCCCACCACAATTCCTCAATATTGAGGGATTTACAATCTCTACTTTTTGTTGAGATTCTTCACAATCACTTAATACTAACTTTTTTTACCTTTGGAACAAAAACACAATCTAAACCTCCAAACAAAATATTTACCTAATACATCAATTGATTCAATCCATCAAATGATAATACACTAATTGTCCCAATACATCAATTTGAAGAATCACAACTTCCAAACAACCCCTTAATACCCTGCAATTAAGCTAAGCGTGAATTCACTTTAGATTGAAAAAACTTTATTTCAGTTTTTCACGAACAAGATGATAATCACTTCAATGTGTTCTTTTCCTTCTAAGGAGATTGACCCTGCTTTGTCTGTATCACCCAGCACCTCGAATTTAACCAAATTAAGAAGACTTTATCATCATACCAAATTGTTTTTTATTTGGTATCTCAGTGTTGTAATTTGGTAACACTCATACACACCTTAGTCGCGTAACCAATGATAACTCTATCTATTAACGTAATTATTGATAACTCACATCTACGACCTTTAGTGATCTTGAACAAACTGCGTTCGGCATTCGGCAGCATGCAGCATATTTTTCAACAAAAAATGACAAGAATTGCAGCGCTTTTAAAAGGGGTTTAATTAAAGCCCTAATCCATGAAACTCTCTAGCTAGCGGTGGCTATTTGGTCCGACCTTTTAGGTTTTATCAAAAACCGGATCGTATAACTCGGACCGAGACTGTATCAGGATCGGATAGCAAACAATCCAATTCAATTTTCAAGTTCGGATTTGAGGTAAAAAACCATTTGGGACCGGACCGAAAACCGAATAAGAGAGCCCAACACCGAAAATTTAACCTCCTCACCCTTTCAGGCCTCAGGCCACTCAAATCCCCCCTTAAGCCACTCAAATCCCCACAATCTCAATCTAAAGTGAAGACTGAATTGAGACTGGACTGGATCAAAACCGGACAATATCCAATCCAATTCTTAGTCCTTATATTCTCAAAAAAACACGAGCGGGCACGGATCAATTCGGGCCAATTTAACCGGACCGTATAACCACCCCTAACTAGCTATATGTAGCAATTAAAGAAAGGAAGGAAAGGAAGCCAGAAAGAAAGATAAGAAGGAGGAGGAGGATGACGATGAGAGGAGCTAGGTCTGTAATAGTATGGGCAATCATCTGGTTGGTTTGCAGCAGCAGTAGTAATAGTAGTAGTGGCGAGAGCAGCAGGATGCAAACAGATCATCATACAATGGAAGCTGCAGGCGTCCCAAGTTGCAGCCCCATCAGGATAAAGAACGGCGACCCCACCGCCGGTGCGATCGCGGCGCTCGTGAGGAAGCTGCTGAGCGCGACGCCGAAGCTCATCAATCACCCTGCGAGGAAGCGCTGCTTTCGTGCGTCGTATGGAGGCAAAACGGCTTACGGTGCCGTGTCCTGTTTCAACGACATCGCCCACTGCGAGACCTGCCTCGACGCCGCCCTCGAGGTAATCTCCGACGGCTGTTTCGACAGGATTGGCGCCCGGGTCAACATGGGCAGCTGCTTCATGAGGTTCGAGAACTACAAGTTCTGCAAAAATGATTAGTTAGCCCAGCCTAACAGGAATAATGCCCAAACGATTAATGTATGGATGATGATAAATAACAAAAGTGATTCGTGCAGTTGTTCCTATGTATGTATCTTTTTCATCTGTGTGTTTCTCTCCAGCTGGGGCTGCTTCCCGCTTCTGGATGTCATAATCTATGCATGGCTGCACTTTTTTAATAAGCTTCGTCTAGGTGTGTGCAATGGATTTGATTCATAAATTGGTGAATCTGAAGATTATATGAATTAGTGGATTTATGGAGAAGTGACATTTAAGTATTGGACTAATAACTATTTAAGTATTGGACTAATAACTAATAAGTTAATTTTGAAAAGTTTAGGTACTAAAAATGTTATAAGAAAAATATTTAGAAGTCAAAACATAATTTTCCAATGACATTTTTTATTAAAAAAAGGTACCAAATCCGAAAATATATGTATTAAACTATAATTTGTCAATAATCCATGAATCTAATTGTTGATGTGACTTGAATAGGACTATCAGCAGCTACGACTGGTAGTCGGGGGTCTCGCCCGTAATCTGTAATCTTCTCATACTCCTCTGTAATCTCCTCGATATAGTGAAACTGGCTCTCTCTCGCCCGTGGACTAGCTAACACACATCGTGTTAGTGAACCACGTAAATCGTGTGTCTGTGTTTTTTTCGATTCTCGCTTTCGTATTCTTGCTTTATCGATTCCGGCAATTTCCCGATCCGTAGCAGCGTGTTTATAACAAGTGGTATCAGAGTCGCGGTTGGAAATCAGGTTAGGGTTTTCGATTCAGAAGAATGACGTCGGTGAACATGAAGATCGAAAAGTTCACGGGGAAGAACAGCTTCGCTATATGGAAGATCAAGATGCAGGCTTTATTAAAACAGCAAGGACTGTGGGGGCCGCTGTCTGCGAAACAGAAGAAGGCAGTGGTCGATGACGATGAGTGGAATACCCTGGAGGAGAAGGCTCACTCGACCATCATGCTATCGTTGTCTGATAACGTCATCATTGAAGTCGCTGCTGAGAAGACTGTCGCGGGCTTGTGGTTGAAACTAGAGAGTCTGTACATGACTAAGTCTCTAACCAACAAGCTGCATCTCAAGCAACGGTTGTTCAGCTTGAGGATGCAAGAAGGTACGCCTTTGAGGGAACATCTCGAACAGCTTAACTCTATTTTGCTGGATCTGCGTAATATAGATGTTCAAGTTGATGACGAGGATGCTGCCCTAATCCTGCTGGTTTCTTTGCCGAGTTCATATGAGAATTTTGTTGATTATTTTTTGCCGGTAAAGAAAGCGTGTCGTTGGAAGATGTCAGGTCTGCTCTTCATACGAGAGAGATCAGACATAAGGCGTCCGGATCTGGTACAGGTGGTGAGGCATCAGGTTTGGCTGTTACAGGTGGAAAGGGAAAGAAGAAATCTGGTAAAGGGAATTCTAACAAGAATTCCAAGGGTCCCGGTCCACAGCCAGGTGATGCTTGTCACAATTGTAAGGAAGTGGGGCATTGGAAGTACAACTGTCCCAAGAGAAAAGGGCAACAGAAGAAACAAGGTTCAGTTGCCGTGGCAGAAGTGGACAACAGTTCTGAAGACGATCTCGCCTTGGTTGTAGATGAGAAGGCACATCGTGGGAATGTGTGGTTTCTGGATACTGCATCCTCATACCATATGTCTCCGAACAGGGATTGCTTCACAACCTACGAGCAGATAGATGGTGGTAACGTGGTCATGGAAAATGGAGTTGTCTGCAATGTTGTTGGAATTGGGTCCATAAAGGTTCGGGCACATGATGGTTCGTTCTGTACCGTGAATGATGTCAGGCATGTTCCACGAATGACAAAGAACCTGATCTCCTTGAGTCTACTCGACAACAAGGGTTTCAGTTTCAAAGGAAAAGGTGGAGTTGTGTATGTCTGCAAAGGTTCAAGGAAGGTGCTGAAGGGCGTGAAGCGTGGGACCTTGTATGCATTACAAGGGCCTGTGTTGTCTGGTTCTGCTGTAGTTGCATCGTCTCAGGTTCATCAGGAAGATATGACCACTCTGTGGCACATGAGATTGGGGCATATGAGTGAACGGGGGATGCAAGTTCTGTCGAAGAGGGATCTTCTTTGTGGGCACAAGGTGCAGAATTTGGAATTCTGTGAGCATTGTGTGTTTGGGAAGCTACATCGCAGCAAGTTTCCCAAGAAGGGTATCCACCGGACGAAGGGGATATTGGATTACCTCCACTCCGACTGTTGGGGTCCTTCACGAGTTGAATCCATTGGAGGCAGCAGGTATTTTCTGTCTATTATTGATGATTATTCGAGATTTACTTGGATTTTCATGATGAAGCATAAAAGTGAGGCTTTCGTGAAGTTCAAGCAGTGGAAGACATTGGTGGAGAATCAGACCGGTAAGAAGATCAAGAAGCTGCGAACGGACAATGGTCTGGAGTTCTGTAATTCTGAGTTCAACGAATTCTGCAAGGATGAAGGGATTGCCCATCATCGGACTGTGAGAGATACACCCCAGCAGAATGGCGTTGCAGAAAGGATGAACCGGACATAGTTAGAGAGAGCACGGTGCATCCTCTATAATGTTGGACTAGAGAGGAGATTCTAGGCAGAAGCAGTGAACATGGTGTGCTTCCTGATCAACTGTGGACCTCACACAGGTATCGAGTTGAAGACTCCTTATGAGGTGTGGTATGGTAAGCCTGCTGATTACTCCTCACTAAAAGTTTTTGGGTGTCCTGTTTATTATCATGTGGATGAGGGTAAACTGAACCCAAGGGTAAAGAAGGGTGTATTTGTGGGTTACGGAGATGGAGTTAAGAGATTTCAAGCCTGGTCACCTTCTGAGCATCGAGTTATACTCAGTAGAAATTTGATATTTGATGAGAAGTCTATGTTTAACCCCATGTTGAAGGTTACTGTTGTTGAAGGTAGCATGAATGTTGATAAGCAGGTGGAGCTGCAAACTCTAAATGAGAGTGAGTTTGAGCACCAAGGTGGAGAATATCAACATGAGGATGTTTCTATAGAGCCAGAAACTTCAAGGTCCAATGCAGGAGTTCAACAGTCTATAGCTTCCGATAGACCAAAGAGAGCGACTGCAGGAGTACCTCCACAGAGGTATGGTTTCGAGGACATGGTGGCGTATTCATTTCAGGTTGCTGAAGAAGTGGATGCAGTGAGCCACAGTCCTATAGAGAAGCCGTTTCGGGTGGCGAAGCTGATCAGTGGCTTGCCGCAATGGGAGATGAGATGGAATCCCATGATAGGAATCAGACTTGGGAGCTAGTCAAACGACCACAGGGAAGGAAGATTGTTACAAACGAGTGGATCTACAAGAAGAAGGAAGGAATCACTTCTAAAGATGGCATGAAATTTAAAGCTCGGGTGGTTGCACGAGGCTTCTCGCAGAGGGAAGGAGTTGACTACAATGAGATTTTCTCACCAGTGGTCAGACATACTTCGATCAGAGTGCTACTAGCAATAGTGGCACATTATGACTTGGAGCTCGACCAGCTAGACGTGAAGACAGCTTTCCTACATGGAGAGTTGGAGGAAGAAATTTACATGACTCAGCTAGAAGGATTCCAGGTTTCGGGAAAAGAAGACTATGTTTGTAAGTTGAAGAAGTCCTTGTATGGACTTAAGCAATCTCCGAGGCAGTGGTACAAGAGATTTGACAGTTACATGCTTGAGCTGGGCTACAGCAGAAGTCCATATGATTGTTGTGTGTATCACAACAAGGTGGAGGATGGTTCGATGATCTATCTTGTTCTGTATGTAGATGATATGCTTATAGCTGCGAGGTTGAAGTCTGATATCCAGAAGTTAAAGGGGCATTTTAGTGCTGAGTTTGAGATGAAGGATTTGGGAGATGCTCAGAAGATCTTTGGTATGGAGATTTACAGGGACAGGTCGAAGAAGAATCTTTTCTTGTCACAGAAGAGCTACATCCAAAAGATACTGTCGAGGTTTGGCATGTCTTCAGCAAAGCCCTTAAATACTCCTAGTGCTTCAAATGTTCATCTATCCTCAGCTTGTGCACCGCGGTCAGAGGATGAGAAGGAGTACATGTCGAGAGTCCCATATGCTAGTGCAGTAGGTAGCTTGATGTACGCTATGGTATCCACTAGACCTGATCTTGCACATGTTGTTAGTGTTGTCAGCAGGTTTATGATACAACCTGGGAAGGAGCATTGGCAGGCTGTGAAGAGGATCTTCCGGTACCTTAAGGGTACACCTGATGTGGGGATTAGCTTCGGAAGTGATACAGAGTGCTTGGTGTCTGGGTATTCTGACTCGGACTATGCTGGAGATGTTGGCACGAGGAGATCGATGACCGGTTATGTATTCACTCTTGGGAGTTCTGTAGTGAGCTGGAAGGCAACTTTGCAGTCGGCGGTGACATTGTCTACCACTGAGGCAGAGTATATGGCGTTGACAGAAGCTGCTAAGGAGGGAATATGGTTGAAGGGACTGGTTGGTGATCTTGGTCTATATCATGATCAGGCAGTGGTGTATTGCGACAGTTTGAGTGCAATATACTTGACCAAGGATCAAGTCCACCATGAGAGGACTAAGAACATCGAGGTGAGATATCATTTCTTGAGGACATAGAAGAGGATTGAGGTGAAGAAGGTTGGCACCGCGGATAATCCTGCTGATATGTTCACGAAGCCGGTTCCACATGGCAAGTTCCAACACTGCTTGGACTTGCTGAATGTCTTGAGTGGATGACTCCGCCCTGCGGGGCATTGATGGCGGGAGAGAGAGAGAGAAGGAGAAAAGTACATAAGAGATTTCAGAGGAAGAAGATTCAAGTCAAGGTGGAGATTTGTTGATGTGACTTAAATCGGACTATCAGCCGCTACGATATAGTGAAACTGGCTCTCTCTCGCCCGTGGACTAGCTAACACACATCGTGTTAGTGAACCACGTAAATCGTGTGTCTGTGTTTTTTTCGATTCTCGCTTTCGTATTCTTGCTTTATCGATTCCGGCGATTTCCCGATCCGTAGCAACGCGTTTATAACACTAATCTATGAGTCCATCAATCTAAAATGGATTTAGGTACCACATTCTAAAATATAATATATGTACTAAACTATAATTTGCCAACAATGCACCAATTCAATCCATGAATCCTTGTAAAAAAACTATTTGAATTTGAATGAAAAGAATTGGATTTAAATTGATTAGATTAGTTGGATTTTTAAGTAATGGATTAAATTGGTGGATTGAATACAAAATTGTCACCTTAGCATATGAATGACGAGTTTCGGTAATTGAATAATAATGGAATATACCTAGGCATGTCGGGTCGGTTCAGGTCGGTTAACCGAACCCGAAAACCACAAAACCCGAAAACCTGCAACTTCCTCATTGAAAACCCAAAACCGAACCCGAAAATGGCACTATCGGGTTTCGGTTACCTAAAACGGGGAAAATGTCACTAACAGACCGTTTGGTACCAAATGAATCGAGAATTCATTTCATTTTAAAATGGATTACTGTGTAGAATTCATTGTCAAATGAAGTCCTATGTTTGGTATGTCATATGTATAAGTAATTTAGTTAATAAAACAGGATAATTATGTCATTATATTATAATTAGTAAATACTTGTGGAATTCATTTGGAAATTCTATCTCAATTCCTCTAAATTGCTATAACTAGTTCCAATTCCGTAGAATTCAAAATTTGGAATTGAAAATGAATTCTTTTTAATACCAAACACAAAAATATTTCATTTCAAAATGAATTTCTCAAAACTTATGGAATTCATTTATACCAAATGGTATGTAATGGTTTCGGTTGCTTATAGGAAACCCGAAAACTTGCTATTGTATTGCCAATGGAGCTTTGCTGACCAGCTGGCAGGTAGCAACTTTATTTCTCCGTTTTCATACGAACACACAGAGATCTTTCAGCCATCAGAGACGAAATCTTGACCTCGATATGTGTCTTCTCCGTCCCCTTCCTTCGTCCTCTCCTTTAGCACAATCGAATCCCTCATCGACGGTGCCAGCTTCAACCCAACCACCACCGTCTCCCTCTAGGCCACCGACCTCAAATCGGAGGCCTCTATCTTCTCGATTGTTGTCTGGTTCCCTGTTCAGGCCGCCGACGGGTTGGTCGCCGCCAAAGCAATTGGAAAATTCCTCCCTGCCAAATTCAGGCATGCACTCAGTGGGTCATCGCTGAAAGTGGATCTCTTCACCTGGGCAATCGCCGAGGGAGCTCTGAGCTTTGTGCTCTGTTTGGCTCTGTTGTCGATTATGGTCAAAGGATCGAAAAATTACATGCTCAAAGTTTGGTTGTTGGTTGTAGTAACTGTGAGGTTTAGCATTGTCGTGTTGCTTCTGTTGCAGGCGATGAATGGAAGGATGATTTCGCCGGCTAAAGGTTGCATAACCGAGATGCGCCAACGAGGAAAAGCTTCAATCTCGAATGAAGGGATAATTTCACCGGGTAAGGGATGGCAGGGCAGAGACCACGATTTCAGATCTGGCTTTCTTTGTCTTCATAATCGGAGGGCTCTAGGTCGGCTTTCCACTTGCAAAAGGGTCTCCATCTTTGGGGAGATGATTTGCAGAAGATGATTTCTCTTCCTATATATATCGAGCTCAACCCACCATTCAAAGCTCTTCGCTGCTCTGTTGTTTCATCTTCACTCTCCAACCCCAAAACCCTTCCTCTCAAACCTCCATCTCTGTTCCATTTATTTTCTCAAACCAATCAACCAAATGGCCCAAGTAAGCTTCTCGAAGGCAGCTACCCTCTCCATGATCCTGTTGGTCGCCTCTCTGGCCCAGGAAATGGCCCTCGCTGGTACAGATTCTGGTTTTCGGGGAAAGCTTTGATCTAAAAAGGAGCGATGATTTCACCGGTGACGGAATGGCAGAGTAGGTCACGGGAGGCGAAACCACCACTTCGGGTTATTTCGGGTCCTTATCGGGTTTCAGGTTACAGGGAAACCGAACCCGACACATCACACATTTTGGGTTGAAATCGAAAAATCGAACCCGATAGGACTCTTATCGGTTCGATTTCGGGTTAACCCGAAACCGATTCAACACCCCTAAATATACCATTGTATTAAAACCCGACCGAACCGGCCGGTCAGGCCGGTGAAAACCGGATCCGGTCAGTGATCCGGTCCCGGAAGCCTTTAAACGAAAAGAAATGTGATCGTCCGGGTTATGACCGGTTCAATAGGTTAACCGGCAAAACCGGGGGAACCGCCCAGTCGGTTTGAATCCATTCGTTTTTTAAAGTTTCAATTAAAAAAAGGAAACAAAAATTAGAAAAGGAAAATAATAATATTACTTACCCTCCTTGTTTCTCCTTGTGGAAATCTCAGCTACATTTTACTCAACGTGCCACCTGAAATTGACAAGTCAGCTGATGAGCTTTTGAGAAGCCAAGTGAAGAGGGATTGGAGATTCAGCAGAGGGGAATTGAAGAGAGTTGTTGAGAGGTTATGTGGGGAAGAAGGGGAAGAAGAGAAGGAGAATAAAGAGGAGCTTTTTAAGAAGAGATTAGAGTTCATTGTGGCTGGTGCTGTGTTATTGGAGGAGATATTTTGACTTACTTGGGATTGAAAGAATCTAAAGTTTCCGAGTAAGCACTGGGAGAATGTGTTGTCACTGATGCTCTGAAGGGGTAATTCTATGAAGTTGATTTCAGATTCAATGGTGATCCTAGGTGGATTTCTGTTGTGAGACTTGCTACCAGGTTTTAATAATAATAATAAGAAGAAGAGGGTTAGAAATGGTGCACGATGTGCTGCCATTGCCAAGGTAAGATTGGTGTTTTCTGTTTCGATTGACATACATTTTCTGATCTCTAACTCGAGAAGTTGATCATATTGTGACAGGGTATTTGAAGGCTTTGAGGCAATATGGTGAGCTTGGTAACTTAGGTGGCAAGAATTTCGAATGCCTTGAGACTTGAGAGGCATCTTGTTTGCTTCATAACGCAGGGCTTTTTGCTTGTAAAAGGGATTACCACTGCAGTTTTAGTGTGTCATCATTGTACAAATTGCATCATTAGCAGCACAGAATTCTCGTGCTAAATATACATGTTAATGAGATCTATGCTCTGGTGAATGTATCTCTTGTTCTATAGGAAGGAGACCATTTTAAGGGTTTCAGTGCTGAAGAGATCAAGGTAAAAGGGCAGCTATCAGTTTGTGGTTTTGTGAGCAAAATACCGATTGGTTGCAAAAGATGTCTGGTAAAATTTCTTTCTTCCTTATGTTGCAGTTAATAGCATTTCTTGCAAGGCATTACAGGAAGAAATTTTGAACATTTCAGATGTGCTTACTACGAATAATCGGATTCAGAACATAGTTAGATGAAATTTTGAACATTTCGTCACTTGATTGGGGGGGAAAACACACCTGTTTCTCTCTACACAAGGTGTTAGTTCAACTGTTGTGTGGACTTCCTATAACCTATGAAATTGAGAAAGGGGGGGTGATATCCTAGTTAAATTTCAAAAAAAGGGGAAAAGGAAGAAAACCCTAGTTCTACGTACTCCCTACTTTATGAACTTCACAAGAACACTGGATGTCTTCCGGATTAGGGATTAATTACAATGTCTTTGCTTTGTTTTTTTTTTTTTTAGCTTACTTGAACATCAAGCTACCTCTTTGTTTATAAAGCCTCTTACTTTGCTCTAGATGCAGGATGAGATTCCAGACTCCCATAGGGAGAAGGGAAAGCCTCTGAGATAACATCCCAAGAGAAGCTCCCTTCTGCTCTCCTCCGCTTATCCAAGAATGCTGGCTTTAGGGGTGTCCCTGTATCAGCTTTACACGTTAGCATCGCCACCACCTCAGACATCGGCGGCCTCAGGTTCGCCAGCGGCTGAAGGCACAAGAACGCCACGTGGATCACGTGCACCACGTCTCTATCCTCGATCCCTTGTTGTCGAAGCCTCGGATCTATCAGCTCACTCACCTTGTTTTTCTCGTATAGCTTCCACGCCTGCAACAGAAAAGGTAATGTACACCATTGGAATGGCTAGGCCTCACAAAACTCGGTAAAGGGTGGCCTCATGAAACTCGCTAGGCACACTTACGTATTCAGGAAGGTACTGCTGCTCCGATGGTAAGCTGAGATCTGTGTTCTTCCTGCAACAGATTATCTCGAGAAGGAGCACTCCAAAGCTGTAGATGTCGGCCTTCTCGGACAGCTCGCCCCTGATCGCATACTCTGGGGCTGTGTAACCCCTGATGAACGACAAAGATTAGTCAAAGTGGAATGAATCCCTGTTATGAGATAACACTAGTAATTAAGTTGATTCAGAAGGACTTACAAGGTTCCTGCAAATGTGGTGCTGAGATAAGCTTGGTCTTCAGGGAAGAATCTGGCCAGCCCGAAATCGCTGATCCGAGGCTGGAACTTGTCGTCTAGGAGAACATTGCTCGCTTTGATGTCTCTGTGAACGATTCGGAGAGGGGAATCTTCGTGCAGGTATTGTAGGCCTCGAGCTATGCCGAGGATTATCTGGAACCTTGTGTTCCAATCCATGAATTGATTGTTGTTCCCTGGTTATAAATTATATTCACTCCCCATTTCATCAAACTATCATCAAGTCCAAAATAATACAAGGTAAACTTAACACAATTGTCCTCTTACTGTTCTGGACTCTGTTTGATAAATCGTTCGGTTATCATGGTTTGTTTTATGATTGTATCAGCAAATTTTGAACCGCAGACGGCAGACTCCGTCGGTTTAATAGATTCGATTTTCTTGGCATGGCATTTAGTTTAACTTCTCATGATTAGGTCAAATCATATAAGGACAACAACAAAGAATAAACCCATATAGCAATCAAATTTCGACTAAAGATGCTCATGCACAGCCCATTCTTTTATGTAGATCATGCATATGGAATTCAGGGGAGACGGCAATAATAAGAATTGTTTGCAGCCATGGAAGCTTGAAACTTTCCACCAAACTTTAGCAACAATACAAGACAAGAGTAGCCTAGTAAACTATGGACTCGATTCTAGAAAGACGGCAACGACTAGATATAACATGAAACTCTTTCCAACAATCAAGCAGTTGTTACCTACCATAAACTATGAGGTCCAAGCTCCTGTTCTTCATGTATTCATAGACAAGTAGACGTTGTTCCCCATCGGAACAACATCCGAGGAGGCGTACCAAGTTCTTGTGTTGAATGCTGGTGATCATTCTCACCTCCGCTAGGAACTCTGACTCTCCTTGTTGGGATTTATCCAATGATAGCTTTTTCACAGCCACTGTCCGACCGTCTCTCAGTTTGCCCTGTGCAACCGGTTAAGAAAAAAAATCTAACTTTGGAAATAGAGGGGGAAAAAGACAGGAAAAAATTCCAAAGTACACTAGTTTTGGAAATTTATGACTTGTATGACCCAAACCTGACTCATTTGATCATATTTCTATATGATTGACCAACTTACTTGTGACCTATTAACCTTTATGACACGATCCAATTCGTTTGTCTATCTTAACCGAAAATGTAACCACAATACATCAATACTATCATTTAAACAAAAAAAAAAACGAATTGTAAATTTACCCGATAAACCGGGCCAAATCCACCTCTTCCTAGGAGATTATCAGCATGAAAATTCTTGGTTGCCTTCTTTAGCGTCTGGAAATTGAAGTAGCTAATCGTTCTGAGAGTTCCACTTAGAACCTCGGATGCAACTCCTACATAGTTGTCAAAAGAAAAATCGTGCAACGAGCAATTAGTTAGTGTATTAATAAGTTATTAGGTTTCGACCCAAAAAAATCAATCTAGTGACAACAATTGTAAATTCTAGCTTAATGTAGATTGATATTATAACAATTGGGGTTTAGTCACTAGGACCATAGCGTGAACTGGCATTATTTGATTGTAGGAGAGGATGTTGTTGATAGTTGAATCGTTTCTATATATTATAAATTACAACGCATCAATCTAACGATGGAGTTCGCTAATATTTACAAAGACAGTGTCTGTAAATATTGGAGCCTACATCGATCCAATGGCTGGCATCGAATGGAATCAACCCGTTCTGACTTCTGATGAAGGGGGTACGTTCAACCACTTAATTCGAAGAGTGACGATTACTTCAGAACTTAAAAACAAGTTCATGAAAGATCGATTTGCTAAACGTTTGTTATTATTACCTTGAGGCGGCAGCGAATTGTCTTTCTTGGCGAACTTGGTGGTCATATCGTTCAATTTCATGAACTTCCAGAAGAGGGTGATGAGGATCAACACAATAACGAGGACGACCAGAACGCCAGCGAAGAAGAACAATGCGGAAGAACTCATCGGAGAAGGCGAAGGCGTACCGCGCGGCTCAGGAAGCTTACTCGGAGACGGCGGATTGGTCACTGAAAAATCATCGCACAGAAGAACACTGAAAGATATCAGAGAAGAACTAAAAAAAACAGAGACCCAGTTTCTAAAGAAAGAAAAAAAACAGAGACCCAGTTTCCATCTCGACCGGAATCGCAAAACCCACCTTCCAGAATACGGCGAACCATGGCCCAGGACGAGAAACCCTGAGGCCAAAAGGAGGACGAAGAAGAAGAAGAAGCAGCAGCAGCAATGGCGGGCAATTGGGGAGAGGGAGGAGAGAGGGAGAGAAATGAATGAGAGAATGACAAATTAATTGAATCCATTGGAGAGGGAGTTTGCGTAAGACTGGGTAGAGAAACATAGGGAGAACCGGAAAAGGGAATTTTTTTAGATGGGGCGAACTGGCCAAGGGCGCAGTGGAGAGCGGAGAAGGAGACGATTGGCTAATTTCCAAAACCAGTAGTTTCATTCCTTCCTTCCTTTGCCTGCTGCTGCTGCTGCAGCTGTTTCTCGCCCTCTTCTTTCTTCTCTCCTTTGTCTTGTCTCCTCCGACCCTATGAAAAATATTGTCATGAATACTTTTTTTTTATGGAATCTAAATGCCGTCTTGATGCAGCTCCCATCGTCAAGAGCCTGGCGACCCACACACATAAGTGGAGGCCGTAACGCACCTAGTTTTGATTTTGAATAGAAGAAAAAAAAACCTTTCAAAACCTCAAAATTCACGTAGGTAATTTTGCAGCTTATGCCTTCAAATTTTATTGTCATAAAGTTTATTTATAACATCATAAATTAAATTTCCAATTGCATCAAATTTTAATCGGCCTCTCTTCTTCTCACTTATTGGTAATCCCTGAATAACTTTTTTTTTTTTTTAAAGATATGTGTCATTAGGAAGACGATGGGGGCAAGCCCTAACGGGAAAAGTACAAGCAAATAAAAAGAGCATGGATGTGAAAATCAATAAAAAAAAGTCCAAAACAAGTGGGTTGGTACCCAATAGGGCTCGGACCCGAAACAAAAACAAGAGATGGCATATTGGCATCCAAAACCCTAGTCGTTTCAGCTGCCCCCTACGGTTCCTCCACCGTCGCTGCCGAAATCACCACCGTCGTGTGGCCATCCAACTGACGTCGCTACTGCCGCCAAGCGCCCAAAGCAGTTAAAATCAGGATTTTACCTAAAATCGAAAACTGAGGTAAAATCGGAATCAATCAATTGGGTGTCCCATTATTTTTGGTATCTAGGCCCTGTTCTGCTTGGACCCGTGTCTTTGATGGTGATGTCTTTAGGGCTCATGTTGTGTCCTGTGCTGGTATTATGGGCATTAAGCACCGGCATAACCTCGTTCGAGACACCTTACTGGACATCTGTTATAGGTCTGGGATTTCTATCGGAAAGGAGGTTGATATCAGTTTGGTTGATGGGCATGGGGAACCCCTTCGTCCTGCGGATTTTTTGTTTTATTCCTGGGATAGGGGGCGAGATGTGTGTATTGATCTGACTGGGTCTTCCCCTTTGACTCAGACTGGGATGACCGATTTTGTGCCCGGTCGAGTTGTAGCTGATGCCGCTCGGCAAAAGTGTGCCAAGTATCGGGACTTGTGCATGGCGGCTGGTTACAGGTTCCTGCCCTTTTCTTTCTCTTCACTGGGGGAGTTGGATTTGGATGTTGTGGCTTTGCTTAAACGCATCCAGAAATTCTCCGAATCTCAGGATGCGGGGGCTCGGGCGGCCACGTACATTTTCACTAGACTTAGCTTTGTTGTCACTAAGGGAGTGGGAGCCCAGATTGTATCTAGGCTACCCACTAATTTCTTGTAGACCTTTTATTTTTATTCCACTATGTTTTTATAATGGCTATAAAATCAAATCGTAAAACCGTAGGATTTTAAGTACCATATACAACATAACATATAAGAATATTAGTAAGGTAAATCATTAATAACACAAAGACACATAACATTTAAAATGATAATTCTCAAGATTTTTTTTACATAAGATAATTCTCAAGATTAATGTTCCAAAGTTATTATTTTAATTGTTATTTAATGTGTAACTCACAATAATTCATGATGAAGGGATAGAGCTCAGGGGGTTTGGTTCTTGTTTTCATGTTGTGTCTAGGTAGTTTAACTCAAAGTAATATTCCGACATCAACTACTAAGTATGATTTAAAACTAAAAATAATTGAACTCCAATAAAATAAGTAATGCTAGTGGCTTGTTATAAATATATTCATTAATAAATTAATTAGTTAGTAATGATGTTAATTCTTACATACTTCCAATATTAGGACAATTGTTTTACCAATAAGTTAAATGGGGCAAAGGAAAAGGGATTAACTGAGCCCTAATTTGGTTATTTTTATTATTTTTAAATGTTTTTCTAATAGAAAAAACATCAGAGAAGATTCGCGTCATTGCCATTTCCGCCAAAATAGTTATGCTTCTTTTAAATTGGCTCAAACCACCTATTCTGTTCTCATAAAATCAAAATCTCAATTTTTGTACGATTTTACAATTTTAACAATTTTAATCCCTATTTTAAACGATTTTAAGGTCCACGGATTTTATAGTAAAATCCGGATCGGAATCCCTAAGTAAAATCCTACGATTTTAAGATCAAAATCCCGATTTTGACTGCATTATAAGCGCCAAAATAGAGGATCGTTCCCATTGAACTTGGATGGAGGGATGAGGAAGAGAACCTTCCATCATCCCATCTCGAGCAAGTGGACTTCTGCCTCCCACCGATAGAACCCAAGGACAACATCAACCAACCAGTCGCCGACGAAAGAACTTGAGGGAAGGTGACTTTTTTCTTTAAGCTCTCCACTCTGAGTCCGACGCCAAGGGATGCATCTCCGACGCACCTAGATGTGCAAGGTGGGAGGTGGAGGTAAACTAGGGAGAGGAAAATGAGAAGACAAGCTAGATTAGGACCAAATTCGGCCTCCATCGCATCTTAGAACGGGCCAACATTTCCAGATCTGAGTCACTAGATTGGTGGACAAAACCTCAACCCAACTAAAAGGGGGAAAAAGGAGATCCAGCAAAGGAAAAGACAACCAAGAAATGGCTGGAAAGAGCTGAAAAGCAAAAAGAGGAAGAGGGGAAACTCGCAGAGCAGAACAAATCGAAGGAAACAATAGTATGGAGTTAATTAATGGCCAAATTAATTTGTGTAGCCAAAACTTTGACGTTTGTGACAATAATAGCCACTTTTGTGGAAATAGCAATAATAGCCAGAATTTTGAAAGTTTCATGACATATTTGGTCATTTTCGTTACAAACTTTAACGGGGTTAGAAACTCCGTCAGTTAAGTTAACGTCAGACTGACTAGGATGCCAAATCATCACACACGTCACCTACAAGTCATCGATATCATTGCCACATCATTTTTTTATCTTTTAATAATTCCCGGTGGATAAATATTATTTTTTTCAAATAGTCTTTTTTTTCCTAAACTAAATTTTTTTATTTGTGAAAACTAAAAACAAAGTAAATAAATAATAAATAAAACAATAAATAAATACATTTTTTTATCTCGTGTCCCTCTCTTCTCTTTGCCGCCGCCCACAGAAGACCCCTTTCTTCTCAATTCTTTCTTTCTTTCACCTTCCTCCCTAAATTCTCTCCCATCAATCCCTAATCCAGATCAAGCGGCTTCAACGATGAGGACTCTCCAGCAATCAAAGCTTCCCCGGAACTGCCTCCGAGATCCATCAATACGGCAGCCGAAACGTCACCTCAATCATCCAAGAGAACCCCCAATGCTCATCTCCATAGCCTCTGACCCTGCGCCGTCTCAGTTGACCCTGCTGGGGTTTCGGAATAAAGAGACACCGAAGACTGGACAAAGCGAGATTTAAAGAGAGAGAGACGAAGGCGTAGCATACCTTTCACCACCGTAGATCTCGAGTATAGCCTACCGGGGCCACCGGAGAAGAAGATAGAGAAGGCGACGGCGGGGGGACATCCATCCGCTTCGACGACAGGCGATAGCTTTCACAAATGGAACGACCCTGTTGTTGGCAGGGTCAACCGGAGCAAGAAGAATAGGAACACGAAGGTGTGGTGGCGAAAAGGGAGAGCAATGGACAGAGAGAGAGAGAGAGAGTATTGGTGGCGGTCTGGAAAGTGAGAAGCTTGTGAATCTCTGCTTTGGGTCGAAAGGCGTGAGTAATTCTCGGCTGGGGAATCTTCGCTGGCAAATCGCTCCTATAATAAGAAGAAGTCGATGATGGGGAGTGGTAATCGCAGATTGAGCAACCATAGATGAACCCAGAAGCAAAACGATAAGCAGAGAAAGACGTACCCAGAACCCTCTGCTACCCAAATTGCATATCTGGAAAAATCAAGAAGCTTCAACGGCAGTCGCAATTGAGGATCTGGAAATTAGGGGTGGCTATTTGGACCGGGACCAGATTAAAAACCGGAAACCGGACCGTATAACCCGGACCGAAACCGGACCGGGACCGGATAGTAAACAATCCAATCCAATCTTTGGGCTTAGATTTGAGGTAAAAAACCGGATAAAGTCCGGATAAGAGAGCTCAACACCCAAAACTTAAGGGTAATTTGCATAAACGGTCACAAACCTTTGCACTTAGTACAAAACTTAACCAACTCCTCACCCTTTAAGGCCTTAGACCACTCAAATCCCACAATATCAATGTAAAATCAAGACCGAATTGGGACCGGACCGGATTAAAACCGGACCGGATCACGACCGGACTGTATCCAATCCAATCTTCTGTCCTTATATTTTCAAAAAGACCGGACTGGACCGGATCAATTTGGGCCAATTTAACCAGACCGGACCGTATTGCCACCCCTACTGGAAATGGTGAACAGAACTCAGAAACTTCTGTTATCCAAATTGCGGATCTGGAGAGCCCTCAATTTCTTTGTTTTCGCCGTCTCTCTCCAAGGCACTTCTTCCTCTTCACAGTCTCTCTCGAAGGTAGCCTCCATTCTCGTCGATTTGTGACGGAGGGAGATGAATTTGTGGGTGGGTAGGTGAGGAAAAGGCAAATTGTGTTTTTCAATTTTCTTTAATTTTCAATTTTTTAATTAAATCCACGTGAGAAATACGTACAAGACAAAATTGCCAAATAGGACGATCTGTTAGTCCAGTCAGCACGCTAACTCACACCGTTAAAAAATTGGATGGAAGTGACTATTTTTGGTATTTCCTCAGAATTGGCTATATTTGGCAAAACCGTCAAAGTTTTGGCTATAAAAGTGTATTTGGCCTTAATTAATTGTTGTGATTGTGCGAATTGAGTTAGTCTCCTAGCAATTATCATAGGCTGAAAATGCCTTATTTTCACGTTTTCATCTAATATATTGTTTGAGTTTTATCAAAATTTGACATTCATATACCATGGTCTACACTCTACATATACAAATATATACAGTATAGGAACAATATTGAGTTTTATTGTTGATGAACCAAAAAGGAGGGAATGTTTGGCTCTTGAGTGTTTATACCAAGTATTAACTTTAGCTAGATAGTTTGGTTGAGATAGTTACAATACATGTATTGTTCATAATGCATCGTTTTTCTGAATTTTCTGCACAAACAATACATGCATTGTTTGTTTGATGTGACACAAACTATCACTCAAAATCTCAAGTTTTGGTGAGATTGTTTGATTGAGATTGTTGTGTGTTTTTTCTTCCAATTTTGTCCCTACCTTTTTTATGTGTCTTGCTTTTTTATATTACAAACAAAGGGTAAAAGTGACATTTCACTCGAAAAGTAAGATAACTCGTTTAAATAACACAATAACTATCATATTAACCAAACGATGCAAACTATAATATACCAATTTTCTTGTATACATGTATATTATTATGCATGCATTGATGACAATGCATGCATTGATGACAATGCATCTATTTAACTATCACCAAAACCAAACGACCCGTAAGTATGTGTATATAATATATATTAGATATATGGATAAGAACTTAACTGATTAATTTGGTTTGGCTGGTTAGGAGTGTCTGAAACCAAACCAAACCACCTAAACCAAATAAGCCAAAAAAATTAACAAAACCAAACCAATTATATTATTTAAATTAACCAAACTAAATTAGTCAAATACTACCGATTAAAACGATTACCATAGTAACCACACCGTTTAAACACCCCTACTGAATTCATTACAACTTCCATCTCCCACTGTAACCACAAATCTACAACGGGAGTGCTTTGCTACGAGATAGAGACTCTGTTATGTATTGTTTGTGTTTCGATAATGTGAGTTGGTGACTCCTAAATCCTAATTATCTAAATTTCTTTATATTGCTAAATTGAGTGTAGTGAGTTGTAGATGTGAGACGACTTGAGTGGTGCAGAGATATACTAACAGAACCACACTTGGTCACAATGGTGAATATCTCGTTAGAGAAGGGAGCATTAGAGGATACAATAGAGTTAGCACTTAGCATTACGTAAGCTAGATAATTAAGTTTCAATGATGAATTCGTTAACAAAACCAAATTTTTGTGACTGAATTAGGGTAATATGTTATTACTATTTAAGCATTAGTGATAAAATTGTTAACAATCCCAATAAAAATTGTGACCAATCTAGGTCTTGTAACCAACATTCTATGATACATTGTTTTTGACAACTCATATACAAATATTGGTAAATGACGCTCTTAAACATTAAACTCTAAAATATTCTTAATCATTAGAAATTATAATAAATATTAGAATGATTTTCACTTTATTTAATATATGAGTTTGAGTTGTGTTAAAACCATGGAAGTCATACCAGTGGTATGTCGATTGGCTGAACC